ATTCCAGTGTTTCTAACCAAAACATACTCCAATCTCTCTTGTGAAGGCTGAAGGAGAGGTTTAACACAACAGCAACTGTACAAATGTACCTAAAAGTTTGCTTTTTAAGATTAATTGTTCTTGTCTTTCAGTTGTGTTTTCATTTGTTAATTAAGGATTACCTGCTTGGCTAATTAATTTTCCTGATCACGTTTGCTTGCGAGTGTAAATTCCACAACAGCAATTCCTTGTAACAGGCAAAGTCTTTTTCCACAATGAAGTGCAATAAATAAAAAGTTGATATTTCTAAATTAAAGCACAGGTATTTGCATTAGACTCTGGTTATGGTTGGAAAACTACTCTAGGACAAGCATTTTTTCACACAGATCTTCACATGCTCCTTTCAGCTCCCTAGAATCTGAAGATTTGGCTGTTCATTTGTATCCAGGAGCAGTTACTATTCAAGGTGTTCTCAGGAGGAAGACTTTGTTGAAAGAAGGCAAAAAACCTACAGTAAGATTGTTTTTTTAAATCCATTTTCTCACCTTCTTCCTTTGCCCAGTTATAACTACAGTAAAATGGCCATTGGGCAACTAATTCAAGTGTCTGAGATCTCTGCTGATTGAGGTTTAGGGTCACTGCTAGACTTTTCATCCTTCTGTTTACTGCATTTATTTAGTTTATAAGGCTCTGCCTATGGTCTAGGGAGTAGAAGAGAGAAGGATGATACACAAAACTTTCTACAATACCTGATGACTTTAAAAGACACATGTTTTGTATTCCTTAACAGTATGTAAATCCTAACAGTTTATCAGCAGGTAACAACCCTTGGCATTTGCATCACAAATGCTTAATTTTGAATTAGAAACCAAAACCCATACCCATGACAACAGGGGATACCTTAATGGCAGCACCTAAAACTGAAAAGGAAAGGGACAGAGGGACTGACCCAGAGGAGTGTTCAGTAAGGGCTGCACAAAGTGTAGAGTAAACTGCAGAGGGTTTTTCTCAGATGAGTGAGGAAAGGCACATGTTCTTTCTGCTTTCTGGATGTTTAATGCATTCATAGGCACCAGTAACAAACAGCAGCTTTGCAAATACGGCTGTGGCTTCTGCCTGGGCAGTCAGTGCTGTGATGCTCTTGCAGGATGAGGCCTCTTATTTTGCAGCTCAATGCTGTGAAACGTTTCACTTACCCATTGCACTTCTGGTTCTCTCTCTTTCCTCTGCAGGTAGCATCTTGGACAAAATACTGGGTAGCACTGTGTGGGACCCAACTCTTCTACTATGCTGCAAAGTCCCTGAAGGCCACAGAGAGAAAACATGTATGTAACCCAGGCACAGTCCAGTATCATCTGCCAAAATTAAATGTGATTTCCTGCTGTAAACACTGAGAGTGGTTCAGGCCTTGCCTGATTTCTAGTCAGCACTGTGCTGTCTCCCACTCAGTCACCTCATATGGATGTACCCAAGGGAAATATCATGCACGTTTCTATGCTGCACCAAGAACATCTGCTTTGCATCTGCCCTGTGGTTCTTGGAGTATGTTGGTCTGTGAGGAAGGGAACTGTGTTGTTGGTTCTATCCCTTTTCCAAGGTAGAATTGATTTCATCATAGAATCAACCAAGTTGGAAAAGATCTCCAAGATCATCGAGTCCAACCCTACCCTGGTTACCAGACCATGGCACCAAGTGCCACATCCAGTCTCAGCTTGAAA